CATTTATAATTCTCTTATTTCATAGCTGTTTAACTTTCATTTCCATCTTTAATGATCTTTCTGTTGCAATATTGTTTTTATGTGTTACAGTGTAGTTCTTTACTGTGTGTGTAGTGTCTTTATAGTGTGTTAGTGTGCGTGTAGTGTGTCACAGTATGTAATGTGTGTAGTATGTGTTTACAGTGTAGTGTTAAAGTAGTTAAACAGCTCTAACCAAGTTGAGTCAGTTACTTTAAACGACTGTGACTCTTACTGAGGTAGGACATTTCTGCATTTTGGCAAAATGAATGAACTATTTGTATGGATAACCATATACCAAATATATCACCACCAAAAACATTTAACATTCTGGGTCAGCTGAAAACAATACACTCACCAATATTCCAGCTCTCAAACATGACTATCAACGTCAAAGACCCGAATAACATGAACAGCAACCAGATGTGGGTTGGAAGACATTACACTGCATAAATTAGGAAAAGCCACTTGAAGAGCAAGTCCATCACAGCACAAATGAGGTTCCCATTTTTGATTTTCAGCTATGAGGCTCAAAGGGGTTTCCTAGCAGCTTTTGCTGTAGAGATGCGACTTTTGGGCTGCATTTCTGACTGTCTAATTTAAGGAACACCTTCTGAAATACCTCGCAAGTGTACTTCAGCTCCCGTGGGTAGCTTAGATTGAGGGCATAAATGAGCCCCATCAGCAAAGCACAGGCCCTTGGCACATCCAACCCTTGCGGGACCTCTGTGCCCTCTATGATGATGGTTGTGCTGGCTGGATCAGATGCTGTAGTACCTTTGGTGACTAGAATCTTCACCACCCGACTCTCAAAATCTCCAATTTGGATCTCAGAATCCTGAAAGCAAGAATATCAGAAACAAATATCAGTATCAGTATATCATTAAGCTGCCACACTCAATACTATATATAAAAATAACATAACATTTCCTGTAATGTCCTGGTATCTAATTTTTCCAGGTTTACAGCTTTAAAATCATGTACATAGTTTTCTCAGTATTTTAAAAGTCCCAGGTCGTGGTGTGTTTGCGTGTGCGCCAATAGAAAGGGGATCCTTTGTTGCTGAGTACCGTGGGGAGTTGATCTCAAAACACAAACGTGAAAAGAGACAGAAAAAGTACACCGAGAAGCAAAATGCTTTCTTGTTTGATTTTAAGTGGAACGGAGATATATGGTGGTAAGTAGAGGTCTACAAAACCATGTTCTTTGCAGCCTTATGGTTTTAGAGAAAAACACAGATAACTCTCCATCTTCTAATTTAGCATTGATGCCTCCAATGAAGATGGCTCCTTTGGCCGGTTGGTCAATGATAGTCATAAATCCCCAAACTGCAAAATGAAAAAGCTGACTGTCCAGGGTAAACCTCATCTTTGCTTGTTTGCTCATAAAAATATCCAAGCAGAGCGTGAACTAACATATGACTATGGAGATGCTCCATGGCCATGGCGAGCTCTGGTAAGTTAATCTTTCATTAAACATTGTATGATGACAGTCTGCCTGATTAAAGATAAAAAATATGCACCCTACTAGTACATTTTTGTACATTGCAGACATGCAACCATGTTAATTCTTTCTATATGGTCCAGTAGAATTATCCTAGGTTTTGGTTAGTTGGTAAAATAGATTCAACATGCTTTTAGTGTTTTTTTTGTCCTCTTTTGGTCTAAATAATTATAAGTGTGTCACAATGTCCTCGTATTGTCTTAATGTTGAAAGACTTGATAGTGTTTGATTTGACGTCCACATGTAGTTTGAATAATCATTAGTGTGTGTGTCACAATGTCCTCATATTGTTGAGGGCGAGATACACTAATATGTTAATATCTCTATAGAGTTCAGGAGAATTGGCCCCCACCCTCATTGTATTAGGATGTTCATTAGTTTATTACTGAATGAATTTAAAAGTGTATTTGTTTGTTTTGTTGCAGACACCAAGTGTACAGATCCTGAATGAACCCTCAGTAGAGCCAGAAACAGGCAGTACATCCACCTCAACCTTCCAACAGGTTATTACACACGTCTATTTCCAATTAAACCCCCCAAAAATGTCTCAGGTGGTTCCAGTGCATAGGAATAATGCCTGTCAGCAATCTTTGTGAGTAAAAGTTTCACTATATCGTCATTGCTATGACTTGTTCTAGTATATTTTGGCAGAAATACTTTGGTTTCATCCATTCTGAGTACCAACATCCCCTTTATACTTCAAAGTAACCATAAGCAACTTTTTAATTTGATATCTTCTGTAGTTTTACACATGTTTTTGTCTGTATAACCTCTTACCAAAGGGTTTACATGGAGGAATTACTTAGAAAGTAGATCTATTTATAGTCTGCTTTGGTTCAGAATTATCTTTGATAACATTAGAAGCAATCAGTGACACCTCTGTTCAACTTACTAAAGTAATTCATTAATGGCAACAATGTTCAGCACTAATAGATTAAAAAAGTACAAGTTTCTTAATAATTGAAAAATGGTTAACCTCATTAATAAGAACGATCTGTGTCTGCACAACAGCTGTGAAAATGCCAAAGAACGCTCATGAATGTGGAAAAAATATGGAAAAAATAGCAACACTCAGTGGAAAAAGACATTAAAATGTGACAGTCAGTAATCTGAAAGTTAATAAGCATAGCTGAAGGTTTTTCTCTCCAAAAAAGCGGCTTGTGACATCTTTTCCTGTGTTACTGGAGACTGGTGAGTCCAGATGAAAGCTACAACACTTGACAGTTATTGTCCTCAGCAAGCAGCCATTTTAAAGAAGCCCCTCCCACTTCTCACAGACACTCAGTCTCACAGGAGCCTGGTGCAGCAAAGCCACCTGCAGCCAGAGAGAGGAGAGCCACTCCACTCTGAGTCCACTTTGCAATTGAACCACACATGCACAAAAGTACTACCGATCTACTGTGGATGAATACAGTTTTAATGCAACTTTTAGATCCAAATGAGGTGGTTAAGTCACTTAGCAACCGTTAAGACAGCCAGTAGCCACTTTCCTTACTGAGGAGTTGATAGCAGTGGTGTGTGTGAGTGTGTGTGTCCGTTGGAACATCTCTCTCTGTCAGTTATTCTGCTATGGAGAGTCAATAAGTCTGCACGAAAGATGGCTCAAATCTCTGAGCTTTGCTGAAAACTGGAACTCAAGGTGTCCATGTTTTTACACCAACGGAGCAACGAGACTTTGCTGATTAACAAATTTAGCGCATATTTAATGGCTGTCTTTTCAGGTTTTGGGACTCAAGTCTTCTTCTTGGTTGAGCTGCTTTCTGTTGGGCAGCTGGAAGGTGTGTCTTGACTTTGAAGGCTCTGGTTTAAAAAATTAAACCCTGAATGTTGTGGAAGTTACAATGTGAGAAAGAGGATAAGTTTTCCTCCATTTTTCTGTAAAAATAATTCAGTGAGTTAAAGATTGTGGTCACAGTTGCAGTTTAAAAAAATAATATATATAAAGGATTTCCCTGCATTTCTCCAGTCAGTTGGAAGCGGCACTTTGTACCAAAGTTCCGTACCGTAGGAGTCCATTCCACACTCAGAAATGACTGATGGAAGAATTTTGATTATTAAAAAAATGCTAGAAATTCTTTAAGGAGCTGATATACATGAAAATAGCTCAACACTTTGAAACCATTGTTAAAGTTGAATGGTGTTTGAACATATGCTGAAGTAATAAACTTTGAAAGTGGTAAAATGTTTTGAAGGATTTGAGGGATTCTTCATTAAAAAATTTAATAAACTGAGACAAATTGGGGGGAAATGTTTGTATTTTCGGCTTGCCTCGTTTGCAAAAGCTTCCCTCATTTTCTTGAGGCAGGCTCTTAATAGAGTTCTTTCTGTAATGAACGTGATTAGGACCCAAAAGCAGTTTAACAAGGTTTATTAGCAGACAGGGGCTCGGCAGAGGCGTGGTCAGTACAGTCCAGGTTCGATAACGGGTGGTCCAGGCAGCGCAGATAATCCAACTCGTGGTGAGGGGCTGGTCGAGGGTCAGAGCCAGGGGAGCAATCCAGGGGAGCAAACGTGAGCACGTAGTCAGGCAGGCGAGGTCGGAACACGGGGAGACAGGCAGGATCCAGAGACTGGCAGGCAGATCTCAGGCAGGCAGACTAAACAGACAGGGAGTAGGCAAGCCTGGGAGTCGGAGTCAGACGGGTCGTAAACAGGCAGACAGAATCAGGATATAATGCTGGAAGTACTCACACGAGGCTCGATACGTTCTGGCTAAGAGTTCAGGTAAGTACGAGGAATATATGGAGGTGGGAACAGGTGAGATTGATGAGCGCTGATTGCGGGGTGAGTAGCTGGGCAGGTGTGGAGGTGGGGGTGGAGCCAGCTCCAGAGCCGGGACGTAACACTTTCAGTCACTCCATGAGTCACAGAGGGAGTGAAAGTCTAAAAGTAACACACAAACATCTAAAAGTAAGTGACAAACGTGTATAAGTAACGTACGAAAACCCGAAAGTCACTGACAAGCATCGATCTATAAAGATCTGTCTGTATGGACATATTTACAAGCACAGCCGCTCAGCACACAATAAACTGGCCTGTGGTAGCTGTGGTAACTCTGCTGGACGCCCGATTGGAGGAAAAAGGCTGGATGTGAAATGTAAATGTGGTCTAAAAGGGTGTTGTGCGTGGTTCCTAGTGTAATCAGTTGTGTGTACCCCCGGGAGTGAAGCAGATCGTGTATTGCTTTTTTATCTGTGGAGAGCAGGTCCTCGTTAAAATCCCCACAGATGACTTCAGGCTGGAAGTTCATGTAATCTAAAAAGTCTAACAAATGCCTCATCTGGGGCAGAAACTTATCCAAGCTATAATTTGGCGGCCTGTAAACAGTTGCAATAAGTGCGGTAACAGGATCCTGGACTTTCACGACTACAACTTCCAAATCGGTAACATTCTGTAAAAACCTACGTGGCTCAGCTTGAAGGTAGGGCCTGCAGTGAACTGCGACTCCACCACCATCTTGACCAGCCATGTGGGTGTAAGTGTTGTAGGAGGTGTTCCTGTTCCTGTTGAACAGGGTGTAGCCCTCTAAGTGAAAAAGAGAGGTGACCGAAGACTCGGACAGGTGAGTTTCCGTCAGGAACAAGAAGTCGGCCAGCAGAAACCTGTGATGACGTTTTACAGCCGCGATGTGGGTGGGCAGCCCCTGGGTGTTGTGGTGTACGCTGGTCTGCTACGTGTGGTGCCTATGTGTTTGAAACGGTGAAGCAGCGGTCTGATGTGCTCGAAGGAAGCGAGTCTTCCAGTGCACCTGTAATATGAGGATCGCCGTAGATCTTGTCTTCATTAAAGTGTGTGATGTAGAGCCCCTGCAGTGACGTTGTGCGGATCAGGGCGATGTAGGCCATGCCCGGTTCAGAAATAAGCTCTAAGCTAACCACAGCTCCCTGCATCATCATGCCTTGGATCTTATGGGCCGTGCAGGCAAAGGCCAGTTTCATGGGAAACTGCCTTCTGCTAACTCCCTTCACGCTCATGCTCTCCTCGCACCGTTCGACGTACGCCAGATCGTCCGAAGGCCCCAAAATCGTTCTGCGGAACCTTTGACCCGTGATGGGATTGTCAAGCCTGAGCCCGATTAGCTTGACCAAGTTGGGAAACACGCTCTCATCCATAACTATATGCGCTATGACTATAAGGTCCCGTTTACCATGCCGCCTTCCAAATCCAGATTTCTAACAATCATGACACGAACACCAGTTGCTGCCTGGATGTTGTCCAGTAAATCCCTCTTCTTGCCCTTCAACGAACCAGCAGATATCATTACATTTCTTATAATCCTCTGCCTTGATGTCAATGGTACCAGGGCAGCAACCCAGGCCGAATTGTAGCTACTGACCTGTTTGTTGGTAGCAAAAATGTGGAGAATGTCCACAGAGGAACGTCCACTGTGGGCAAAGACATGTCCCCCTGGTTTTGGAATCGCGGAAACTGTCTTAGGATCTTTGTGGCCTCCTCGTCTTTGCATTTAACTCATTGACTGCCAGCCATTTTCAGAACAGAGAGTCGCTCACTGCCAGAGTTTTTTGAGAATTTTGACTGATTTTTCAAGAGCCACAGAATAGTTTGTGCTATGACTATGTAAACACCGAACACACCAAAAGAAAGAGTAGACTCTCTTCTTTCATCAGGAAAAAAGATTTTGTTTCTACCTTATTCCGTTCTTCTTCGACGT